TCGTTGTTTTCTTCAGGTTCCTGAGAGTTCCCTTGATCATCTTCCGACTCACGCTCATCATCCTCCCAACTGCAGCGCGGCTGCGCGATCGAGTTTCCTCTTGATCAACTACATCCGTCTCAGCAAGAGAAGTGGGAGATGCTTCCTGGCCAAAGGCGTGGGCTCTGCAGGCCAGGAACCTTTGGTCAAGGGAGTTTCTTTGGCAGGGGCGGTGTGGGCAAGGTATTGACGGCCTGGGAAGGGCGTACCCGTAGACCAGAATCGCTTAACTGTTTACACCATCATGTTGCTTTTGCTCCGGGGCCAAGACACAAACTCCGAAGGACAGGGCGGAGCAAGTGGCTGAGCGTCCGTCCACTCTTTCTTTTTCTTGTTCTTCCGATTCTTGAGTTCCTGGTGTTCCTTCTGGATAGCCACCAAAGCCGGTCAGAAAGGGCAAACGGGCAAAGCCACGGCCTAAAATGCTGCGAATTTCTGGTTCGGGAAAGATCGCCGTTTGGCCGCGAAAGATCGCCGGTTGGTCGCCCAAGATCGCCGTTTCATTTTTCGCACTTTTTGAAAAGTTGAGCGTTTGCGTGAAAGAACGCATAGAATGTATTTGGCGAAGCTCTGCGTCACCCCTGGTCCCTTTCAAGCCTGAAGGTTGGAAAGGGAGGGGATAGCATCCGGCCGCTGAGGAAGGTGGAGTCTCAGGTGGCCGCTGAGGAACTGTCGAGCAACGGGGCACCATGCCTGCGCATCCGTGGGTTGGCAAGAAAGCTGCGCAGGAAAGTCCAACTTCGGCGGAGCAGTGCCACGCTGATGGAACTCCAAGCGCCTTGCCTTTTTTTGGTTGGGCTGCAAGACCAACAGGCTATCCAGAAAAAGCACCAGGAACTCAAGAATCGGAAGAACAAGAAAAAGAAAGAGTGGACGGACGCTCAGCCACTTGCTCCGCTGTGTCTTGGCCCCGGAGCACAAGCAAGCGATTACGGTCTATGGGTACGCTTCCCAGGCCGTCAACACCTTGCCCACACCGCCCCTGCCAAAGAGACTCCCTTGACCAAAGGTTCCTGGCCTGCAGAGCCCACGCCTTTTGGACAGGAAGCATCTCCTCCCACTTCTCTTGCTGAGGCGGATGTGGTTGATCAAGAGGAAACTCGATCGCGCAGCCGCGCTGCAGTTGGGAGGATGATGAGTGTGAGTCGGAAGATGATCAAGGGAACTCTCAGGAACCTGAAGAAAACAACGATGAAATCCCTTACATGGACGATGCTGTTGCCAGCAAGAATAAGCCAAGGCCGGGAAAATTGCACTTGTCGGCGTCGGCGAGGCGATCAAGGCTTCGAAGGCGGTAAACGGGACCTTCAAAGAAGCGAAGCCATCATTGCTGACTGCATGACAGGAGGCGCAAAAAAACATTGAGAAGATCTGTGAGGTGGATTCTGCAGAGACCCTTTGCTTGAAGATTAGCCGTAGCCTGAAACGCCTGATCTTAGGGTCCTTCCAGCAGGAATGCGAGCCACTCCGTACGGAAGTGGAATTGAATGAGTTAATCATTGAAGGAGAGTTCGTATCGAAGGACACAATGCTCAATCAGTGAGTTGGAGCCAGCCACGTGGTGCATGTTAGCCGCCTTCAAGTTGCCGACAAGTGCCAGCGAAAGACCTTATGCTGTGCAGAAACATTAACGTCAACCATCATGCGCTTCCCTTTTTTCATTGTTTTCTTGGATGCCCCAAAAAGCTGCTTGCAAGTGACCAGGGCGGAAGAAGTTTCTTTAATCAGTCTCCGCGGAACCACAAGGATCATGAGGAAGTTCATGCTTGTGTTTAAACTCTTTGGCCCCCCGCCCTCGCTTTTCTATGTTGAGTACTCACCCCCCCCCTCAGGACTTTAGTGCTGACCCCCTCTCAGAACTCCCCTCAGAACTTGCGCTCCCAATGTCAAAATACTATTCTTTCTCCGGCACTTTGCAAAGGGGCTTTCGTGGCCAAGAAAACAAAAGAACAAACATCGTATACATAGCTACCTGATACTTGGCCCTATCGGGGGTCTGCAAATTAATTGCTTTGAAAGGGAGCTTCAAGGAGACACGAAAAACAATTGTCAATTATTTCATGGTTGGCCCTATTGCTTCCCGTGCAGTTTCTCATTCGGCTTCGGGGGACTCAAGTAGGGGGTTTTGGCACCTCCCCTCAGGATTCTATTACTGACCCCCCTCAGAACTCCCCTCAGAAATTAAGTGCTGATGGTCTAGTACTGTCTCAGAAATTGAGTACCCCAGAAATTGAGTACGGGATTCTGTTGTCTCCACAGTCCCCACAATTCATCTGCGCAAGTTTTCTGAGGAATAGTAAGGCCAACTATGCAGCCACTTCAATTGACACTGTCCGGAAGCGCTTGCTTGGGCCCTCACACCCTACTTTGAAGTGACCCAGCTGAGACATGGGCCCGCGTGATGGCTGGTATCACAAGTTTGTGTTTGCCCCACTTTGCTTCTCCCCGCGCATTGTGCGCCATCTGAATCAAAGGATAGCTATCCATGGTTTAATGTCCAGGGCTCTGATGTTACGCTTACTTTGGAATGGTTGGTTGCCATCATTGGCGGCGCCAAATTGGCGGCTGTATTCAAGCGCCACTTGGTCAAGCCCACGTCCCAGTCTTGCGCATGATGCGCCGTGGAAGCGAGATTGCTGTTAAATTCCCGCAAGCGCTCTATATGAGCATGGGCTTTAGTCAGACCAAGCCTGCGCTGCAAGGGTCTACGCAGGCTATGTTCCAGCAGGCTTTCGCACAACTGGCAGGTGTCGCTCTTCTGGAACTCAAATTTGCAGGGTCGGCCATGAAGCCAAAAATGCGTTATTTCAGCCACACGCTCTTTGAAATCAACGCCTTCCTGAGGCAGGGTGCCTTCAAAATAACAAACCCGCTCATACGCAGCTGTGAGCAAAACGAAGAAATAGTTGGTAAGATTTCAAGGACAAGCAGGCGATGCCATCAAAAGCAATTGTTGAAGCGGGCGTTGCAACTCCACCTCTGAAAGCTCGAGCCCTTCACCGGAGGTATCGAATCGAGCCAAGGCCCAGGCCAGCTGCGCCGCCAGTAGGAGCCAGAGCAGCGATGAAGGGCAAAACCGAGATGCGAATGTACGCTTGAACCGGTGGTTTTCCATGTGGCTTTTCTGAAGCGGCAATTCTCCCAATTTTGTGCAAGGCGCTGTTTTATTTCGCTGTTTCATGAAGTGGCAAAAATTATGGTCCATGGCCACTCGGCCACGTACCTGTAGTGCTAGGAGCGAAAAAGGGCAGGAGGGTGGGAGAGGCGCATGCAGGGACGGAAATGATGCCGTCAAAAGGAACGGGCCCGGGCCATGACGCATCCGATGTGACATGTCACGCCCGGCGCTTCCCAATCAAGAATCGCCGCTTCCCTGACAAGATCGCCGTTCCAAAGCAAAACCTACTTGTGCTTAAACAGGCGGTTTTTTGCACCCTTTGGAAGGTGGAGGTATATATATATATACTATTATTATTATGACTATTATTATCAGTATTATGATTACTATTATTTGTTATTACTATTATTGTGATTGTTATTATTGTTATTTTCTGTCTTGACGAGTAGGGTTACTGGTTTATGGTAGCCTGATGCCATATCTCGGACTCACCTTGCAGTCTAACCTTTCTCCTTTCCCTGGATGTCCTATGCAGAATGCTTATCTTGACTTTTGCAGGTGGATCCGTCTGGAAAAGACTTGGAGTCGGGCTTTGAGGGCATGAGCTGGACCTCATTCCGTCAGGGCCGGGAAGCGAGCGACCAACGCTCTCACTCTTCCGGTTCGAGGGGGAGCCGTTGCCGAGGAGGCTCTCTCTCTCTGACCCAAAACCCACCCTTTTGCTTTCTCTAGATATGTTGCAAAAACTGGGCGCCTGTGGTTGCCACCATACCCAAAGCGATACAAACACCTGCACATGTTTTTGCGAGTCCACCCCCACCCACCCCACCAGATAGCTTTCCCACCAGGCATAGAACACATCAGATCCGACATTTTATCCACCAGACCTTCAGGAAGTCGTCCCCACAGAGTGGCAAACTATAAATGGAGTACCAAGGGTCATCCCCAGTCCGTTTTTAGGGGGGATATCCTTCATGGTCTATATCATAGTAGGTTTCATGTCAATTGAGGGCATAAGGTCTAAACGAAGGACCGCCCCCACCCCTCCAATTTTTATGTTTGTAGATTCTACACGAGCCCCCCGTTTCTTGGCGATGGTTCGCCCGGAAACAAACGGTCTGCAAGTTCACAATGGCAACACCAGAAATAAGACATGTACCCAGGACCCTCCCACCAATTGAAGAACATGGAACCCGACAGGGTCCCTTTAAATGGAAACGGGTCTTCCAGGACCCCCCCCCGTCAGGTTCCATGTTAATTGGTGGGAGGGTACATCCCCCAAGTATCGCTCGAAACCCCACTAAATAGGCAGACCATTGGGGGCACGGCTAGAACCCAGACGAAAAACCGATGGACACCTTCCGCTTGGAGCGGTTTTGGTCGAGCCCACCTACTTGAACTCGGGAGGTAGAGAGTCAGAATTGGGATTTGTTCATCCAATGAGTTGCGGGATTCCGAATCCCATCCGAATTTAACCAAGGAAAGCACCCCCTCCAAAACAAAAAAAGACCTCGGGTCAAATGCTACCCACAACCCCGTTTGGACGGCTGTTTCGGATATCAGGTTTGTGCAAAAAGCAGTTGGGGGGTGCTGTTTCAGGTTCCGTCGACCTTAGAGCTTAAATACGTTGGACATGACCCACTCTGTAATGCCAACAAGGCCATTCAGATGACTCCATGAGCCGAGTTTGGGCCTATAAAAGCGAGTGGACAAAAACGCATGAAACCCTCTAATAGGAGCCCAAGACCCTTCATATGGTTGGCCCCCCCCCAAGACCTCAACAAATGGCCTTGAAGCAGGGACAAACATTGGGCTACAACACCTCCACGGCCCCCGTGTGAGCCTTGTCGGCGATGAAGTAGAGCCGGGTGTTGGACTGCTTGAAGTAGTCCTGATCTGGTCATGGGTTAAAATCCCGTACCGCCAGTGAACATCCCAATCCCCCACTAGAATAGACTAGAATGGGTGGTGCACCTACCACAAAATGGTACCATTGGTTTTGACCCACAGCCATGTGTGAAAGTGGGTCCACCTGTTGGAGACCACAATCTCTCAAAGTGGATTGGCTGTGGGGGTTCCATGCTGATCTGGTGAGGAATTCGAACGTTCGAATGGTCTCTCAAAGGGTTTTGAGGGTTCCACGTTGGGGAGTAGTTTCAACATTCTGCGTGTCAAAGTTCCCATGCGGGGCTTTGCCTGGTTCCAAAGGGGCCCGTGCCGTTCGCGGTGCGGAGCACATGCAAGCTCCAAATGCCCGTATTCGCTGGGACCAGGCTATCTACGGGTATTACACTACCTCACTTGCCCAAAGGACCTGCAAATACAAGGTTAACCTTTTGGGACCTCTACTAAAAATAGAGCAAGAAGGTCAAAACCAAAAGGTCAAGAGGTCGATTCGCTTTGGAACAACTGAGCTACAGGCAAGCCACACACCGGGGCATTTCCATTGCTAGGGTTTGGGTGGCCTTTCCCCCTTGGCGATCTACACTCACCAGACCTTGGCTGGGCCTCATATTTTACCGGTGCAACATGGACCTCTGGCCTTTTAGCCTCAACATGGTTCCACGGGTTCACTAATAACTAACACATGGCTACAAAAGTTTGCTACCATCCAGCATTACCGACAGGCTTACAAAGGTGTGCTACAGGACCAAAATGGCTACTACAAAAGGCTTAGTGCCAAAACGGTTACGAAGCTTTCCTGCCAACATGGTTACGAAAATTTGATGCTATAATTTTGCTTACTTACAAAGGTGTGCCGTTGCCGCTGCCGCTGCCGCCGCCGCTGCTGCTGCTGCTACTACCATGGTTGCAAAGGTTTACTACTAACATGGCTAGACATATTTATTACCATGGTGGCAAAGGTTTATCTAGCTTACTAGACTCCCCATCCGCTGGTACGACCTCAAGGCCTCAAGTCTTGCCGGTCTCTTGGGGGGCTCCTGGCCGGCAGGGGCTTGCTGGAAGAAGCGCGAGAAGATGCCCTTCCGGAGCTTCTGGACATCCTGGTGAATGATCCAGGGTTCCGTTTTTGGACCCCAGAAACCACTGAAACCCAAGGGAGGTTGATATATGTTGATATCCCAAAGGAAACCCCTGGATTTAAGTCTACCTTGAGGTAGTCAAAAAGCGGAACCTATCCCAAAGGAAACCCTGGATTTAAGTCTACCTGGAGGTAGTCAAAAAGCGGAAGCCTGGAAGCCTGGAATCATCGATTCGCAGGACTCCTACTCAGAGGTGGCTGTGGCTCAAAACAGTGGCACCAAAATGGCACCCTGGTACATGGAACCAAAGACTAAAACCCGGGCAACCCCGGTTCTTTAATTTGGAGCCATACCCAGGTGACCTTTTGGACAAATCGACGGGTTTCCCTATGCTCCTGCTGTTGACGGACAAAATCCGCGCCTCTAAGGTATCCTTAGAGGAACCACTTGTTTCGCTCTTCCGAATTCGGAAGTTGCCGCACAAAAACAACTTGTTTATAGCTAGAAGTGAGATTGCGGGGAGAAAATCTACATGGTCAATCAACGAGTTTTAAAGGCTGAATAACGAGCTCATGGTCCAATCCTACGTCCATATATCCTTGTGACACCAGGTAACGGAACCTGTAACACCAGGATCAAACCGCATGATGCCTCAATTGTCCTGCGCCGAAAGTGAACAACTTGTTGCTCCTGTATTGCCATGGTAGAGGAGCTTCATAAAGAAAAAAGTAACAAAGAACAAGCCCCAAGAGCTTGCAACTGCACAAGGCATGTTTTTGGCTGCTGCCCCAACGAAAGAACTCCTACGGGCCTCGTCGACTCGTTCAATTTGTTGTATCACATCCTCCGCAGTGCCCCCAAGCTCAATGGGCAGATGTGGCAGAAATTGGGTGACCTAAATGGGTGCTACCATAGAAATCGACAATGCCACATGCATGAGACTGTCCTTGGAACCTACTCCTTCGTTGGAACCCCTGTGTTTTGGCAAACCACGGGGTCAACCTTCGAGACCGTCGATAAATCCGGTCAGGGATTTTCCTGACCGTCTCGGGCGTCCTGGTCCGTCAGGTTTCGGAGGAAGCGGGTCAGCGCTAGATTATACGACCGCGGCTTGCCGACCGAGGCTTGCAGGATCTGCTCCACGTTCCTCGCGAGCGGATTTCGCGGAGTCCGAGTGGAATTTTCTGGAGCTCGGGATGGGACAAAGGGATCGAGTTTTTGGTGGGACCAAAGGAATCAAGGGGTGTTCCAGAAAAGAAAAGAAAGACTCTGGCAGGGTAGAAAATGGGTTTCAAAAGAGAAAGGACACCTAAGGGTGGCTTTGAACAGCAAGTGTTGGTTGCTAATTTTTAAAGTGAACTTCCTTTTGGTGGGATGTCATACCGGGAAATGTTGTCGGGACATGATTCATAAACCCCCTCTGAATAAAGGCGCCCAATTTCGACAGCCGACTGCCAGCCAGAACTGCTTTGAAGGCACCGCATAAAGACCCCTCTCAGCATTTGTTGGCACTTTGTGCACTTCCCAGAACCTGCTCTGATCGGGAAGAACAACAAAAACTGTCCGGCCCAAATTCCAAAAGATGCAAGCACATAATCATAAAAGCTATTGCCCATTATTTTGCCACTACTAACTTCGTTCGTAGTCTCAAGTGTTGCTATTGCAGCTTATGATGTTGTTTAGAAAAAACACAGCTAGCCGGAAACAGCAAATGCCTGACTACGCTTTGCTTTAAACAACAAGGTCTGACAGGCTCGCAATTGAAGGGTACCCCCCTTCAAGGCTAGCCCCCCTTCTCTCTGATCAATCCTGGCCCTGTCCAGCCCTAGAAATAGAAAGCCCAACTTTGGTTTTGTCCTTTCCTATTCCAGTCCTATTGGCCAGACAGGGGTACACGCAGGAAAGGACCGGAGAGGACTGGCCAGGTCCGGACTAACTCGAGAGGCCAGGAGGACTCCAAAAATCGGATGGCATCCACAAATGCGACAGAACCGAAGAAAACGGAACCACTTTCGGACCACGGTGTCTTCGAAGCCGCAACCCCATGTGAATAGCCCATGAAAGCCCCAAAGCAGGCGCCCAAACCCATTTCCGACCATCTGTTCAGAACTCTCAGCAGCCCATCTCTCTCTTTCTCTCTCGGTTCTCTTTACCCTTTGGGGATACATTTCAAGGACTTTCCGGGAATCTTCCGGTCCGCAAGCCTCTCGTGAGCTGCCTTGGCCAAAGCACCAAGAACCTCTTTCCAGAAACCTCCATTTGCGGATACGTCCCCAGGAATATATATATATATATATTTCCAGTAGTGATAGATTCCCTTTAAAACCAACAGGAAAAAATAAACGAAAATATTAACCAAATGGAAGGAAATCAACGCATTCAAGGTGGGCCAAGAGGTCAATCATTGACCTCCCGCTTCAAACCAATGCCTTTTGACTGACGGATTCCCATCATGGCTGCCAAATGGCCCCAAAAAACCAGCCCTCACGAAACAACCCTCAGAAAGCAGCGAATCAAACTGGCCAAAACTCAGCCAAACGCCATTTTGCTTAAGTGCACCCCCCCAAAAAAAAACAGACATGACATGATTCCAGTGGTGATCTCTTTAAAACCAACAGGGGGAAATAGCACTGGAAACAAAGGGGAGTCTCCATTTCGATCCCCTGATTTTTGAGCCCAAATTAAAGATGGGAATTTACCCTCGAATTTTAGGGCAATCTCCAACTGTAAGAACTAGTTTGAGGGTCCAGGTACTCATGTTTTGGGGGTACCTTCTCCGTTCTTTCCAGGCATCCTTCTTTCTAAAAAAACACCCCAAACCCTGGGGAAACAGCTGGTTCTTGAAAGGAATG